ATCAAGCTGTCCATCTTTGCTGTGCAGCTCACTGGATATCAATGATTCCAATCTATTCAGAGCAGTCACTGACCTTTTCAGGCCTGTCACTAATTGGTGGTGATGACCTGAACCCGCTGCTCTTATCCTATGTTCAATAAATGCTCACCGCTAATGACTTTGGATGAAAAAGGTATTTGATTCTCCATCCTACCAATTGATTATGTACTAGGGTGTGTCTGAGTGTCAGCTTTACCGAGTGTTTACATCTGTGTTTTGAGAGCAACGTGTTTGAATTTGAGGATTGCACTGTGGATCTTAGTTTAAACCACAGTGAATGGTAATTAAAAGTCAGGCAGATCCATTAAATTTTCTCAATGCTTTCTTAGCAGTGTTCGGATGTATTGATGACTTCGGCTGAGTAAAAGGTCTCAAATGTCTGAAGGACATCCCACAAACCATGTCTGAGCACCTCGCGTTCTCAAAGTCAGCCACAGCAAGAAGTTTGACGCAGGAGCTAATGTAGAAATATATGAAAAATAATTGTAATTGTAATGCTACTGGTACTGCTGTATGCCCCTTTTGTTAGTTGAAGTTGCTGTAGTACTTCTTAAGAGTAATGATTACTTGTTGACTTCAGCATTTCCTAGTTACTCTGCCAACACATTAATTATGGTATATAATATATTTTGAAACAGTCCATTCATGTAGAATGTGTTTGTGTTATGATAGAACATATTTGCATGTGTGTGTGTTGTCCTGTTTACCTCAGATCTACGGAGCAGCTCCATCTTAAGGTAAACACCCAGACAAAAAATGAATGCACCGCACGTCAGTGCCAGCCATGACAGCAGCCACAGGCCCTGGGCCAGACGCAACCGCCTCTGCTGGTTGAACTTCATCTTCAGCAGCATCTTCACCAGCTGTCGACGATGCACCACTAAAAACAGTAAGATGTCACTTTTCAGTCAATTATGCTTCAAAATGAGTTGTTGTTGTTTAAGTAAAAATAAATGCAATAATAACTAACAAGAAAGAAAGCTGTTGTCAACGCAGACTTTGCACTGGTTGTTTGATCAGTTATTAGCAGGTTGAGCTCGTCTAAGTTGTTCCAGATGAAGAGGATAAGCAGGTAGATCCCTTTGTTAGTACAGGGAACAGTCGACCTTAAAGGATAATCCACAAGCTTTTTCCCGATGCTGAAATTATTTCAAAAGGTTTCTTTTCGATCTTCTGTTTTGCAGGTAAAACGTGAACTATGAAACAAAAATGATTGTTCCTTTTTCCTTAGATTAATCGAAATTCTCCTGAGACTGTAATTTCAGTCTTTTGCAGGGACCAGCTTTGAGGTCATGCCATCAAATTCTTCCTTGTGTTGTATATTAGGTGGTTCCTTTCCAGCTGTGCCCAAATGTGACGCCCCCCTAAACCACCCTACCCATGGTAGGCAGAATAAAAGACTGTCCTAAGTGGAGAGTTTGGAGCTGTAATCTCCCAACACTGTCTATCGGATCCTATTAAATTCCAGGGGCCAATGGGAAATCAGGCCAGTGTCTGATCAGCAAACTCATTCTGATAGACACGTAGTCACCTATGGGAGACACAAGCGACTTTGTATGTGTAAGTGTACTGACATGAAACCTTTCGGCACAGCCTGCAGTGCAATCAATAGCTTATATAGACAAGAAATACATTATTATAACAGAGACTTTAGGAATATCAAGAGGGAAAGTGTGAAATGCCAGCATTGCTTGTTTCAAAAGCACAAACATCCTTTTTAACTCATTCACGGAATAAAATGTTTTGAAAAGATTCAAAAATGTGCAGAACAATAATATAAGTTAATCATATAATCATATAAATAATTTCTTTCAGTCTTTAAGAGGGCTACATTTTATTTTGTCACATGTTATTGTGACGTTTTTATCGGTTACAAAAGTTTTGCTGCTCGTCACAACTTCGCCAGTAGGTGGTAGTAATGCATCCCAAAGGTTGCAGAGCTGCTTTGAAAACATCGTTAAACGGATGTGGCTAGCAGTCTTAATTGGTTAAATTGATTAATGTGTATAATTATTCTTTTGTGATCATATTTTGCGGCGTAGAAATGTATGACAGTTTTAGGCAAATATGTGGATATTGTCAATTCAGTGCTTGACAGGAATTAATATTTCCATTATTCAAGCAATATCATATGTACTAGCAACCTGCTAAAACTCAACTCGTGTACTTAGACATCACAGCTGTATTCAATACTACAGCATTTAATGCAGTAAACCAGGATATTTGCCTCCTTTTTATTTTTTTCTTTTACTGCATTTAATGTATTAATATGTCTAGTCTTAAAAGTCTTGTTGCAATTACATCTCTATGGCAGCTCACGTCTCAGCAACTCTTTCTTTTCCTTATTATTTTGGAATTGACTCTTAGCAACTATTTGTCCAGAATGCAACGAGGCTTCTTTGAGTAAGTGAAAGTCTGACCGGGGAGGCAAGATTTAATCTCGTGTGAGATTATGAGTGGAGCAGGAGGGAGGTTGATGGGGTTGGATAAACTGGATTATTATAAGTACTCATGGCAGCTAGAATTAAACTTGTAGCCAGTGACACGCTAACGCCATTTTTTTAACATGACAACAAACAAAAGCAAAAATCTAACTCTTAGTCTGTGGATCCATCCGTTGCCTGTTTTTGCCCTTGTATCAGGAGTTAACAGTGATCTTTATTTTTGTTTGTGCAGATGCTGACGTGATGTGCAAGGGACTGATAGTCCCTCTAGTGGCAGAAATGAGAAGGTTGATCAGACTGACATACACGTTAGTACATTCTTTTTACAACACTACATTTTGAGAAGCCAAAACATCATATAGTGAAAAATGTATGAAATGTTAAATTGTCCTAAGAAATTTACAAAAGACCTGAGCAGTTTATGTGTAGTAATTAAAAAAACAATCTTGGGTTGTATAACTTATTTTATTAGCAGGAAGTCTCATTGACATTTTCTACATATTTATTTTTTGTGCTGCAGAATAATACATGAGTGCATGGTTCACAAGGTCACACATCAGTCATCAGGGTGGTAAACGTTCATTTCAAGCTGCTGACATTATTCACAAACTATGTTCTATACCATCACAGAGCCACAGTTATAAGCTCAAATGTCAACTTCACATTTGTTCTGTCTTCTATGGCAGTTAAAAACTAAGTCTAAGATGAACAGTATAAGTGTATTAAATGTATTACAAACACAGACAGAGGATAACGTAAAATCTATTTGAGCCCAGTAATTACATGCCAATCAAAGGTATATTCAACCACAGACATGAAAAGACAAAAGTAGGGAAACCATCCGAACTGTTTATAATGGTGATTTCTATGTAGTGTGGGTGACTGTGGTTGCCTGTGGACAAGAAAAACTTAGGGTTAGTAATTTATGTCCCACATAAAATTATAACACTATTTTCCTGTAAGTGTATTTACAAATAAATTATTCAGAGGTAGTTCTTCATTCTTAAGAAAATTAGTTACACAGTTGATCAGTAGCCACTTCCTGTTCATCCTCTGTTATTTCCTGGTGGTGTCATCCCCATTAGCAACTACCTTTTATTTGTCTGAACACATCAGCCTGGATTATATATTGGGATCACACTGCATTTTTACATTTATAGTTAACAGATTCCAACTACCTAAGGATCATAGAAATCACCACTGATCACTGACTGGAAGTATAATAAGAGTGTAAAATATATTTCTGTTATTAACAGACAAATGTACAAATGTCACATTTTTTCCTAAACATAAGAACACTAAGAACACATTATATATTAATAAATGTGCACATACTGTACAGGCAAATATGCTTATAAAGCTACACTGAAACATATTGTCTAAAAAGTTATGACATAATCATATAATAATTATATATTATAATATTTTAGTTTTGCAAGGAGGGAACCGTGTGCACCACCTTTGGTAAAGATCCCTGTTTGAGACACATTATTTGATTTGTTCAAACCCAAGTCTACACTGTCTCAATGTATCAAACTAAAACTATACAGGTCCTACATGATGAGATTTACAACTTCTTTATAATATTAGAGGATTTAGTATTATATTGGTGACACAAGAATTACTTCTTAGAGAGAATATTAACAAGTAAGTTAGATAATATGTGTATAGATTATATATAACTAATATTTGTTGCATCTTGTGTGTCTCCATTGTGGTTTTGGGGGGGAGGGTGTTTACATCATTCACTTGTTTGGGTCAGGCTTTTGGCTTTAGAGTAATGGGTAGATTGAGGCAGAGTGTTTGAAGCCTAAAACTACAATATATACAGTACGTTAATAATAAAACCATCTTATCTAAGGTATTTCTGTGGTATTTTAAACATAAATCTACTTCCAACATACTGCCTTTTCAGTCTGCCTCTTCAGCTGTTGGTTTCACTCCTTCCACCCACTCTTCCCGGACCTGCAGCTCCGTCCCTCCACCCACATTATTATGAGCCTGCAGCTGCTGCATGAACTCATCCAAGATCTGCTGTGCTGACACAGAGGTCACATCCACAAGGTTGTGCTCTAAAAGTGCTCCATTTACTCCTCCCTTTCCACACCAGCAGTCACTGACCGCAGCAACCTGTTGAAGATTTGACTTGGTGTCACTCTGCTTAGGGCCCAGGGGAGACTGCTGTAGGTTTTGAGGGTAGACAGGTTGAGGTCTGGCAGTATGAACACCAGCCATTTTCTTAGACAGGACAGGGCTGATGTCAGCTGTGGAAATAAATGGACTGTTGCTCGACTCCTGTTGACTTGGGAGGTTGGCTTCAGTTGTTGTTGTCGTTGTTGGCGACCCCTGCTTAAACGGCACAAAAGCAGTGACCCTCTGTGGCCCTGCCTCTGTGTTTGTCAGCCAGTCATGTGTAACTTCTTCCATTTTTGGAGAGAGGGGTTGTGGAGAGGAGGCAGAGCCACTGTTTGATGCAGGGACAGTCAAAAACCTCTGCAGGGCCTCAGCTGAGTTTAAGTGTTTCTCCAGTATATCTTTGATTAAACATGGCACCTGAGGTGGGAAACACCAAAGACAAAGATTTCTACAGTAATCATCACTGAATACACATTACATGTTGCTACACTTCATTTATTTATAAGGTTTTCATTTTAAATGGGTTTAGAAAGCATAAAATATTTGACATGATGAGTACAATGACAAAATAATAACGTGGAATGTAATTCCTATTCCTATTCAAGTACATCAGTGGATCTGGATGAAATCATCGATTTAATTCCACGTATAAATCGGATTTTAGATCAGCACGCACTCAAAATCAATTGCCTTTGAGCAACACGTACAAAAATCTACAAAATAGACAATCTTTGGGCTTAGCATGGTGAGTTACAAATTGGGAAGCGTCTACGCATTTTAAAATGGAAGCCCGCTGCTTGTGGGAGTGTGCATACGTGTCCACTAGGTGTCAGTGTGCTCACATTGATACTCTCCAGAGCAGCGATAGTTCTGTGGGCGTCCTCTAACTCCGAACTCATCTGAGACACACGGTTTAGGAGAAACTTCCTCTCACTGCTCAGGCTTTCAGACTGCGAACACACGAAATATCAATAACAACTGAAAACAAACAGGCAACGACGTTAGAGAAAGGGTTTTAAAAATGGATTAGGCCAGTGTTCCCCGCGGTAGTTTTATGCAAGGATTTCTAAAATTAGTGTTTAAGGCCAGTGTTCCCCGCGGTAGTTTTATACAGAGCAAGGCTTTCTCAAATTAGTGTTTCTGAACATACTAACGTCAGGAAGTCTAGATACAGTAAGTTGAATACAGAATATAATGTCTAACAATAACACACATGTATCGCTTGGTTGACCAAATTAATTTAATTTAATACATATGTATAAAATATAAATTGACTGCTTGAATAGCTTAGTATTGAAAACACACAACGAGATATGTTAATATATGGCAACATAAAATGTCTGAGTTGTACAAGCTTTTATATGTTTCTCACCGCTACCTGGAGCTGTTTCCCCAGTTGGTTATTAGCCTCCTTGGTCCCAGTGTGGGTCTCAAGAAGACTGTTAGCAAAAAAAGAAAGAAAGTTTTAATATTGTATCACTTTCATTCCATTGTCACATGTTATTCCTCTCATTTAACGTTAACTGCAATTCAACAAATGTAATATTTACTGCATGCTTTAAATACTGTTTCACTGAAGATGACCTCAAGATGGTTGTAGGAATAACTTGCTTGACCAGAGCTTTATGGTTTTTCTACATTAGCTTCAGGAAAGTCTTCTTGTAGATAAGCGGGTGTGGTGAATGACTACAGATGGCTGTTTCTTTGAACAAGTGGTCAACACAAACACTCATTGAAAACATGCAACAATTGACACCAAACTGCAGCCAAGAGGGACACCACAGTCACTGCTGCAGTTGCTCCAGGCTTCTGTAGAATGTGTGGCATGTGTTAGTGGCCTGACAGGAAACAGATCTGAACGCGGCTGTGAGAGGTGAGTGTGACGAACAAGGGCAGATGAATTCTGTCCTCCTCCTTTCTACTGCTTGTTGAAAATGTGTCGAAGCCAAATCAAAACATGTGTGTGTAACATGTGCTGGGTTTTATTCCATACATCAATTAATCTTTAGTCACCATTATGCAAAACCATTGATTAGATCGTATTGATTACAAGCAGAGATCACTGGTAATTTCCAAACCACGTCACACGATCCAGTACACACGTGCTGTCCTGCCTTATACAGCACACACCAGAGACATTTTCCAGTTCAGTTTAATCCGTACAAATGCTCCATGCTAACCAACTGTACGTGTTGGAATTTGTTCCGTTAAAAGCCGGTCACCTTTTATATTTTTCCTTGACCTGACTCAGCTCGTCCCTGCATCTCTGCAGCTCCACTTCCAGGCTCTCAATGCAAACCACTGTCTGCAGCAGGTTTTGTTGAAGATCTGCATTCTCCTCCTGCAGTGCCCTGCACAGTGGTGTGGAAGCAATGTCGAAACAAGGGAAGCATTGTCAAAACATCTAGCCCTGCTGCTTTCAGAGCAACAAAGGTATTTATAACTCATATATTTCCTAGGGCTACACAACAGGCCAAATCAACTGATCAAAGAGTTCACAGACTTTATAATGAACAAACTATATAATTGGCCTATGTGAGCTTCTGTTATGTACTGTCTCACACCAACATCATAATAATAATATGCTGCTATATTTTATGTGAAATGGCAATGTGGATACTAAAGCTATAGAAATTAATCAAAGCTCTCACTGTAAGTGGTATAAATAACAATCATTTAAATGAAATTAATAACCAATAAGTCAGAGAAATTAATCAAGATATGAAATGGAAAATAGAAATGGAAAAAGAAGAAGACAATTACCGAAGATGGTCCACATCAAACACTGTGTCCTGATGGGTAAAAATAACACAAGAGAAGGAGAGATTAAATCCTTAATAATCATCTAATAATCTGACACTGAATCTATGTCAAATCTAGAGTCTACTTCAGCCTTCAAAGGAAAACAGCAAGGTATTTTGAATCTGAACAATAATAGCGACATAAAATAATTTGTAACATAACTTTTGGCTCTTGGGTACATACATTTTTCTGATATAAATGTAGGCACTTACATACATTTTTCTGATATAAATGTAGCTTTAACAGGGAGTGCCCCTTACTTATTGGTTATGGACTGTTTGTTCCTGTTAGTTGCAGTATGTGTTTGACTGGGTTTTAAGTATGTGTATTTCTTTGTGTTGTTTCTCTGAACTCCTTTTATGCAATGCCAAAATGGTAGAGCAATGTATTGATGTGTGTTTATCTGTTTGTGTTTAAAGCTGAGGCAGAAAGTTACGTAAGAGACTTACTGTTATCCAACCACTCTGCAGGCTGCAGTGGGGTTTTTTTTTTGTTTTGTTTTTTTTTACACTAAAAGCCAGGATCCATTTTGTGCTGCACTGCTGGAGAGTGACTCAGACTACAGTGCGTAGTTTGACACATCCCCCACAGTCCATGACTCAGCTGTACTGCCTCTGCTACAGAGAAGGCTTCATCAATGTAGCTCTTTGGACTCGTGAGGATAATCACTGAGCCATTCTCCTTTTTTGTCTGATTATTCTTATGCGCGAGTTCTATTAAAAATTGTTATTTAGCATAAGAATATTGGATATACACAGCATTGTCAAAAGGTGTGGTGAAACAAGTTCAATATAATTATTTTTCTTGCAAACTCACTCTGTATCCCATATGCTGCAAACATCGACCACCGGCCTTGTCTGAACTATGACTGGTGGCTGTGAATGTTGTGTCTCTGACTCTGAATGAATCAGATTGGGCCAAAGACTCAGATCCAAGGCCAACGCTTACATTTTGGGCTGATGACGATGAAGAGCTGGAGGGTCCTGGGTGTCCAGAGGCCGGCTGCTCCTGCTGATGCCCGTATTCTTGGGGCTGTCTGGGAAAGTGGGAGTGGGAGCCAGTGTGGTGCTGTTTATGGGGATGACGTTTTTTAGGTTGACAGAGTTCAGGACTGGTGCTGGTGCCATCAGTAAAGTAATGAGCAGACCTACCAAACCTGTCATTTGACACAAAATCTCCACTGGGTGATGGTCTTTGGTTTTTCTGGCTGTCTCCACGCTTTATGGTATGGCTAGATGGGTGAGGTGGGTGAGGTGGAGAACATCCATGGGGATTTCTGGCTGCATAAGCGATCACTTTGTCAGGATTGGCGCAGTCTGAGTGTGTTGATGCGGTACAGGAGGAAACTTTATCCTGGCTGTGGTGCTGTTTGCGATCTTTTTCCTCTCCTGAACTCTCTCTGTGTTTCTTGGGTGGCAGCTGTGGTGTGACTGGATTAGCTCTGCGTGGAGAATGGGCAGGGCTCATTTCTGCTTTTTTTGTTATGTTAACACCAAAGACCGTGAGATCTGATGGACTCATAACCTGTTTTGTTATTTCATCCAGAAAAGCTGAGAACTGCAACTTGGCTTGCACAAATTCAGACCTCACTTGTTGTATCTCACCTTGGGTGTCTCCTTTGCCCTTTGGTGTCAGTACCTCCATGGACTTTGTCTTGCGGATGTCAGTCGAAGGTTCCTTGTTTTTAAGGATTCCTTTGCTGGGAAGCTGACTGGAGGACACAGCTCTCTTCGGGCCTCTGGAGACCCCGAGGAGAATGTCCTCTTCACTAAAGGCCAGTGATCGGTTTAGACTAGCTGTTTTATACAGAAGTCCATTAATGTGTGAAACCCTGGAGTCTCCTCTGGGACCAGTTTTATTACCCTGCAGTAGACCTTCTTCACTTCTGCTGTGGCCACGGTCAAGAGATGAAACACGGTTGCTGCTATGTTGCGAGCTTCCATTTGTCCTGTGCAAAAGATTGGAATTTGGGCCATGTTTAACTGTGGCAAAGACAATAGGTTCGTCCTGGTCATTTTCTTGATAATCTCTGCGCACATCTAGGATGTTAGAACAAGACAGAGAGTGCTGTGGCCGCATGGCATGATGAAGAGAAAGAGAATCGTTTGTACTCTCCTCTGTGAACCATGAGGACGTAGAGCAGGAAGAAGAAGAGGAAGAAAAAGAGGAGGATGAGGCTCGAGAGAGAGTCACAGGGGTGTGTTGGTTGTATTGAATGTTATCTTCTCTCTGCATAAATGGCTGCGGTGTTTGATGATGATGAGCATCATAATGAGGGCCGTCATTATTGTAGTGACTCTGATGACGGAGGTGAAAATTTCCATGGATTGTACTTGGATTTTTGTCCTTATCATCCAACATTGTGTATCTACAGTGACAACAAAAATAATTGAAATGGCGGACAAAAAAGATCATAATTAATTACTTTTGAAATTGAAAGGTATTTGTTAAATTTGTGTAACTTACTCCAAAAGTTTTTAAAATCACATCGCATTCTCTTCACATTGCCAGTATTTAAAAAAAAAAAACACAATCCTTCTTTAAAATGAATTAAAATGTGACCAAAATCTTTTTACCTGTGTGAATGAGGGTCTTGATGATGGTGGAAATGATGATGATGATGATCTCCCCTTGGCTTAATCTCATCAAGAGTGGAAGGGTTTTGAACAGGCATAAAAAACTTATCCATAACCACTCTCTTTTCTATGATGGTCAGTAGATTTTATACAAATTAGTGGAGGAAACGCCGTTGACCATCTGTTTGAGCACAAGTTTTCTAACACTATCCTGTTACAGCGACGGCTAGTTATTTAATGATGTAAACCATCATTGTTTTTATAGAATTGGCCCAAAAAGAAATAATTCCAGGCAAGTGACAAATGCGAATTAGCAAATAATATGGTTGTCCGGTTGTTGGTATCAACCTGAAAGAGTTTTCCTCGAGTATGTCCATCTGCAGCATGTCGAGATAATATATCAACACCCCAATGGTAAATTCCTGGAGGGCATTTGGATTTTGCATCAAGCTTGATGCAATGCGAAATGCTCAGTGAACTAGATGAAAAAGCGGAACATGTGTCCTCACTGAGAAGGCAATCAATTCCCAAAGCCCTCTGGACAGATTCCAAAACAACACATTTGACTTTGTAGTATCAATCCACAATATCGAGTTTATTTGTGTTTTTATGTTTTTCTTATCCTAATTTTCTATAATAATGAATTTATATTGTTAAAGTACCAAAGGGACATAA